ATGCAGGCTCAGGCTGGGAGAGGGAGTGCCTGCTTGGAGCATGCAGTGTGTGATGGGTCAGTCACCCCAGGTGGGCTTCCCACATCCACCATGGGGTCCTGGACAGGTCACCTCCACCATGGGGACATAGGAAACTCATGTTTCCTTTACAGCATTTGAACTCTACAAACTCCAGGCTGGCACTCTTCCTGTGCTGAGCTGTAGTGGAGGTTACATGGGGAGGGGTACTCTGAAGTAGTTATGGTGCTTGGAGATTTTCTAGTTGGGGTAGGGGTTTGGAGTTGGAAATTAAATCACTGGGCTCAAGCTGGAGCTGTGCAGAGAGGAGGAGCATGGGATTCATTCTTTTAGAGTTTTTAGATGGTGGGGCATTTAGCTCCAGTGGAAACTTTGTCCCTAACATCTTGGACTTTACCAACTGAGTATAATTTCAGGCATTTTCATGTGAACACTACATTTTCACCTCTAAGTGGCCCAGGGCTGCCACGCTCTGCATGGAGACACTGAATTTTCCCCGTGCCGATTTTAGCCAAGCCAATGCTTTCCCAGATTGGCAAAAAAATCGGCCATTTCAACGATGTTACAAAGGGGGCGGAGTCAGCACGGCAAACCCGCGCGGTGCTGGTAATAAGGTAAGTTTTATTGGGGGGCAAGTCACCTATAGTTGCAAGAAAAAGTATGTGAGCCCTTTGGAATGATATGGAGTTCTGCACAAATTGGTCATAAAATGTGATCTGATCATCATCTAAGTCACAACAATAGACAATCATAGTCTGCTTAAACTAATAACACACAAAGAATGAAATGTTGCCATGTTTTTATTGAACACACCATGTAAACATTCACAGTGCAGGTGGAAAAAGTTTAAGCAGACTGTGATTGTCTATTGTTGTGACTTAGATGATGATCAGATCACATTTTATAACCAATTTGTGCATAAATCCATATCATTCCAAAGGGTTCGCATACTTTTTCTTGCAACTGTACATGGTGGGTTTAGCACTATAGGGTCAGGAATACAGGTTTGTGTTCCTGACCCTATAGTGATCCTTTAATGCCAATAATAATGTTCTATCAATACTATATTAAAGAGACACTACACCCAGATCACCTCGTCAGGGCTTAGGTCAATGTTCAGCTGATGCTCTCTGAGTTTACGAGGTGACGTTGTTGTGGAGCTTGGAGTATTCCATTATACAGGTTATCTTAATAACATGATCATACATGGCACTCAAAGGGACTGGCAGAGCTAATATAGTGAGGGCCCTGGTGAAATAAATACTTTGGAACCCCCCTCTAGCGCAATGGTGGCCAAAAGTTAGATCCCCATATGTTGTACAACTCGCACGATGCTATAGAAGGGGAGGGGGATTTAAAATGTGTTTGAATGTAATCATGTAATTATGTTGTTTTTTATTGAGTATGGGTGCATGTGTGTATTTGGGGTATGGACTGTATTTGTATGTTCTGTTGCCATTAGAATGCAGTGGTGTACTTATATGTAATGTTTGTGTTTGAATGCAGGTATATGTTTGTATGTAGTGTTAGCTGTTAAATGCAGGTTTACTTTTGTGTATAGTGTTGGTTTAAATTAAGGGGCGCAAACATATTTTTTATTTAATACATCGGTGTGTTTGTAATAGTTCCATTTAAATGCAGAGGTGTGTGTGTTATGCTGGCTTTTAAAGTGTAAATTTGTGTGTAGTTTTGGTGTTTGAATTAAGGAGTGTGTTTGTATATAATTTTAGCATTTGACTGCAGGACAGTGTTTGTATGTAATGTGTGTGTTTGCATGTAGTGTTGGCGTTTGCTGGGATGTATGTACATATACAAACACACTGCCACATACATGCATATTTACACAGATTAAACATACATATTGACACACACTGGCACAAATACATATTTATTCAGATATACATAGAATATGATGGCAGATAAGAACCATTTGGCCCATCTAGTCTGCCCAATTTTCTAAATACTTTCATTAGTCCCTGCCCTTATCCTATAGTTAGGATAGCCTTATGCCTATCCCACGCATGCTTAAACTCCTTTACTGTTTTAACCTCTACCTCTTCAGCTGGAAGTCTATTCCATGCATCCACTACCCTTTCAGTAAAGTAATACTTCCTGATATTATTTTTAAACCTTTGCCCCTCTAATTTAAGACTATGTCCTCTTGTTGTGGTAGTTTTTCTTCTTTTTAATATCGTCTCCTCCTTTACTGTGTTGAGTCCCTTTATGTATTTAAATGTTTTTTATCATATCACCCTTGTCTCATCTTTCCTCCAAGCTATACATACACATTGACCCATAAATACACACACTTACACATTGACTCATGCACACACACAGATACTGACACATACGTACACTGATACACACACATCATGATTGTTTTATTTTCAGCCACCCTCCCTGTTTCATGCTGGCTGAGGCTGATAGGAGTGTAGGGCTGGGTCTCTCCTTGTCACTTCCTCCCATTATTGCCAATATTACTGTTTGCGCTGTTAAAGGGCCGTGGCACCATTCCAGGCCCCTGTTCAGCAATGCGTACACCCGATGGGCCCCCAGCATGCGGGTCCTGGCTGCACCAGCGGTAGTTCCGCCGCTGCTCATAGGATTAAAATAATTATAGCACTATAAGAAATGTGAAAAAGAAAAAGAAGGACAGACATACCTGCGAGTTGTCCAAATGTCTGCAAGTCTGTCAAGATTGGGAAACCAAGTTCATGTGTTTATATAGTCACTTCTATGGGATACCCTCAATAAATAGATAATTTACCACAAACATGAGCCTACCAACTACTTGCATTATTTAACAAATTGTATCTTCTTGAGCTCTTTGTCATTTGTAATTGCACTAGACATGACCGCCCTCTTTCTTCTCTCTATTTTCATTCTTGGCTTTTTAGTTGTTTCTTAGTTCCATTTTGCCCAATCTTAAAATCATATGACGCCACATTATAGCTCATCACATAGACAGAATTGTCACATGACCTCTCTTTCATAGTCTCACAAACCTAAACACCTCTAATCAAGGTTATGCAGGAGTTGGATTACACCATTCCCTTTTTTTTTAATCAGCTATTTATCAATCATTAAACACTTACTCATCATCATAATTGCTCATTTTTTTTCTATTCCCACTGTACAAATCTGACGTAAAGCTACTTAAAGGGACACTTAAAAATGTAAACATGCATGCCTTTAATTATGAATTTTTCTATCTATTGGAGGTATATCCAAAAACAACTTGGAAAAGCTTAAAGGGACACTCCAGGCACCCAGACCACTTCTTCCCATTGGAGTGGTCTGGGTGCCAACTCCCACTACCCTTAACCCTGCAAGTGTAATTATTGCAGTTTTTTATAAACTGCAATAATTACCTTGCAGGGTTAACTCCTCCTCTAATACGTAAGTATTTGGCTTAATCATTTGATTTTTGAAGGCGCTCCAGCCACATGCAACTAGCTTGGTGTGCTGTCAGTCAGAGTTTTTTTTTCTCTTCTTAGCCCCTGCAGTGACATTCCATGTATAAGACGACCCCCAATTTTAGATTAATTTTTTTTTAGAAAAATACATAGTCTTATACACAAAAAAATACTGTACAGAGTTACTAAATAGATATATTACCGGGCATTAGAGTGTAAGAAATGTAAAAAAGATAAAGTCAATAATAGGTCAAGGTTATAGAAATATTGATATGCTTTTTCTACAAAAATAAAAATAAATAATTGGATGTTTTAATATACTTATACTTTCATTTTTTTTATTTTTGTTTCAAACGACCAAGCATATTTACACAGTGAAACTAATATTTTGCACTGGATAATTGATCACAAAGATTAACATTAGAGTGTACCATATATTGTGCTCTAATGAATGGGGCCTGAGTTTTTTGTATATGCGTGCTAGGCATTGTGAGGGTAAGCAGTGTACATTCTTGGGAACACTGTCTTTATGTCTGGTGAGTCGAACTAAACAGTAATGTACCGAGAGGGGATGAAAATTACGCCTCCAGGCTGCGGTCTCAGAATGTTGACACCCTGTTTGGGCTTTTGGCCGGCGGGGGGATGAAAGCTTCTGAGTAGGTAGTAACCTGTCAAGTTATATTTTGTGGGCTGAGTCGTGATGGCAAGCACCGATATATATGGACGCAGTGTGTCCGGCAGGTAATTATGAAACCATAACTAAACTTCAAACAAACTTCAGTCAAACTAGGGGAAGACTAGTGGTCAACGGGAGTCTATGCTCAGTTAATTTGATCACAGGGTGAGTTCGCATTATGTGCTTCAGGTAGCATTGGCGTTGGCGGCTGTGTTTGATCCTCGTCTGGGTTGTCGTGGATTGAAGGTCTTTGCCCTCTCCAGGTCCCATCTGTGCGTTGCTCGAGTCTCAGCGGGTTGTAGCGCCACGAGAGAGACCCAGTGTGGGTAGTAGGCTTTGAGCCCCCTGCAGATCAAGAACTTCGTGCTCTGTGTTCTCATGCAGGACGATCAGGGAGCGGGTAAGTCGCCATCAGTATGTTATACCCTGTTTCATGAGGAGGGATGTGAAGGGCTTAAGGGATCTGCCAGGCTAGTGTGCCTCCTGATATGTCTGCAAAAGGGATCTGCCAGGCTAGTGTGCCTCCTGATATGTCTGCAAAAAATGTGAGTGACATCTCTTCAAACTGATATGGTGTACGGTGTCAGACCGCCGTCATTAAGGCTGTTTTATCCCTTCAATGCTGAAAGCATACGATGAGGTCCCGAGGGATCGTGTTTGGTGCTCTTGCGGGCCTTGGGTCTCTGAAGACGCCTTTTAACTCTACGGCTTTTGCTTGTCTCAGGTTTAGTATCGCTGTCAGTAGTCTCCTCACCAAGTGCGGCAGTTCAGCGGTTGGTATGTCTTCCTTTATGCCTCTCACTTTGACATTGCTTGCAAAATTTCCTGTCATATTCCTCATTACGGCTCTGCAGTCCCTGGATCTCCTGCTGTAAGGAGGTTATTTGCACTTAATGGACGTGGGAGGTATTCTCCAGGGTGCCCAGCTTTCCAGTCAGTTCTTGGACGTCTGAGCGGAGGTTAGCCACATCAGACTGGATGGTCGAATGGAGTTCTGCAAGTAGTTTCTTGAGCACCCCGGTGGTAACCGGTGCAGAATCTGTGTATTTAGGTTTCGGCTTCAGTGTCTGTTCAGCCAGTAGGTCTGGTGTTTGGTCTCCCAGTGAGGAGTCATCCGAGAGCTCAGAGTATGTTCCCGGGTAGTCGGCCAACAGCCCCATGTGCCTGCCTCAGCAGCTCGCCGATATCCAGGCTTTGTCGTGCCTGTCGGGTTTCTGTTTCTTGGTCCCATGCTGGATTCCTCCCGTTTGGCAGGTATTTGCTGTGGTTTTGCGGGGTATATTTGCTCAGATTTGGCTGGTTTTAGCTGCAGTTCGCCGGAGCTCAGGAGCCATGCGTCTGCTCAGCACCGCCCCACTTTTTTGTTTTTAAATATAAGATATTTTAATATTTTGGAAAAAAAAAAATCAGTTTCAAAGTTTCTTTAAAAAAAACAACTAATTTCTAAAACGTATACAAAAATATTAAAATTGAGGCCAAAATTTGCCAGAACCAATAATATTTGTGTTTTTGAACTCTGGTCACCTTTTTTTGATATTGGCTTCATGCAGTGTATACAAGAGATACATATCTTCATACCGGGGTAGGGTACACTTTTGTAGCTTCACAAAAATGCACATTATAAGAAATATTGAAATATACAAAACTTGGTTATTTAGCACCAATTCACTGATGGCTAACGTGGGCAGTGTAGTTATAGGTGAACTACATCCCCATGATGCTCTGCTGCCTAGCCAAATGTAACCAACATAAACATACAGACCCAAGGTTATATGAGGCCAGTAATGCCTTAAGTTTGAAAACACTTTAAGAAATATCTATATTGCTTAATATCATGGATATCATGGAAGAAAAAAAAAAAAAAGACATGGCAAGCATGAACCGCAAAAACTTGAAGAATGTTTTTCAATGAGTAAAGAAACAAACATGCTTTTATCTCTTCCAGATGTAAAGCAACAAGATACGTTACCCTGTGCTAAACTCATATTAACAGAAGCATAATACCACAGATTTAAACCTTAGCTATATCCCGTACTCTACCAAGCTCTTACCAGACAATGGCAAAAACAGAAATAATAGGTCGCGCTACAACAAATGTAAAAAGATGAATATAATATTATATTCATCTTTTTACATTTGTTGTAGCGTGACCTATTATTTCTGTTTTTGCCATTTCTCTTTTGAGGATTTTAGAGGGAACCTCATACCTATAGGTTGCAGCTATCTACCTGTTTCTAGCCCCCTATTATATCACGCAGCGCTGATCCATTCTCCATTTGTATCTTACCAGACAATGACCACCAGCTACTCAGTGTGTATGGTTTTAAATTGATTGATTTTTTTTTTTTTCCCCATTCTTTATTTTTTCCTCAGAATAAGGATAAAACATGTATTGTACACCGTGATACAGACAGTTAGTAACGAGGTACATTGGTTTACACTTTGAGATTTTCACTAGGGGGTCCTGGATCAGAATAATAGATCGTAAATCTTATTTGACATCATTGCATCAGGATGTACATAACATTACTTATTTGTGCATGGAGTGAGAAAGACACGGTATAAGGTCCTTTAGGAGGCATTACCAAGACCGCTAGGTACTGAGAGGAGAAGGTCTATGGTAGTGGTATAGTGGTCGCACCACTCGGCTGCGTACAGGTTCTCACGTCGGTCAGGGCCATGTATCAGTTAGGTATCAGTTAGATAGAATAGACCGAGTTTTAAGGAATCTCGGCCCTGTAGAGAGATTTATTTCTTTTTAATGCAGCACAAAATGTATCTAAAATTGCACCAAACTGCATGATTTTGTAAGTTTTTCTTCTTTATGAACAGTGCCAAAAAGAAACTTGATAAAGTGATGGTAAAACAATCTAAAATATGTTTACATCACTCTGACAATATCTCCCTCTCACTCTGAAACATATGAGACAATAGGCTAAGCCATGACAGCAAGAAGAATACATGAAATAGGTAAAGCACCAGGTCTCTAGCTAACGTGCTCCTATTACCCCACATGGCACAATCTACCCTATCTAAATCCCAAGTCTTATCTATGCCATAAGTTATTATTCACAACCATCTCCAACACTTGACTATGTTAAATAATATTTTAAAAAAAAGTTACCAAAATTATGTAAAAAGTATACCAAAACACATTTATAAACCATAGAATGTCTATTTAATCAATATTTTGGTACTATTATGACAATTATCTTCAGGAAACAGAATTTTAACAAAAAATTGTATTCTATGAGTATGTACTGAATTGTATGCATCGGTTAGCAAGAGGCTGAGACATCTGGACCCATTAATTACATTATTTTCCTATTACACGACAAAGTCATGATTTTATGAAAGACACGGAGGAGAATATTGCATATCCCTTTCTTTACTGTCCACCAAGAGCAGCAAAGAATACAAAACAGAAGTTTTAAAAAATAATGCATACATAATAACATAGGCCACTCCCAGCCAAGTCCTAGTATAATAGTAGGCACCACCCTCAGATCTCCCTCTTTCTTGAAGATGCGACACAACAGAAAAAGTCAACAAAACAGGAAACCAGCAGACATAATTCTTCAAACGAAACGTAGAAGGTCATCAATGAGAACACAGGACCATTTAATCCACAACAGGAAACCAATTCAGAACATCCAAGGAACAGCTCCAACAAAATAATGCTCCCCCATAGTAGATGGAAGAGGACCAGATTATGCTGTGAAAACACAAAGAACAGGAGCCCTAGGGTTAAATCGGTACCATAGACCAACATCACGGCCAGAAGCATCATAGGCATTAATCTACATCCCATAACGAACAACAGCCCATCCCAAAATTCTAAATAGATAAACGGGTCGAACCTGAAGGAGCGTGCATGGAATCATGGAGAAGAGGGGAAACGCGTACAGGAGACCCCCTTGCCAGTCTTGCAGGAAAGTGTCCACTGCCTCTGTCGCCGGGTCTGGTCTTCAGCTGAAAAACTGTGGGAGCCGGGCGTTGAGCCGTGAGGCGTAGAGGTCAGTAGCAAAAGGACCTCAGAGACGATACAGTTGAGCACACCTCCGCGTCCAATTTCCAGTTGCCGTTTTCCAAAAGCTACCATGAATTCCAATACGCGTGGACATTGTGTAGGCCTGGTAGATATTTCACTTCGACCACCAAATTCCGAGCTAGACAGAACTCCCAAAATTCTGTCGCCAATCTGGCCAAGACCGCCGACTCAGTGCCGCCCATGTGGTTGACATACCTCACCGCCGAGATGTTGTCCATGCGGAGGCAAATGGACGCCTGTGCCTGGGCCCTTGCAAAACTCCAGATTGCGAAAGAACCCACCAGAAGTTCCAACGCGTTGATGTGGAGTTGGGATTCGGAGTCCGACCAACTACCTCCCATCGACACACCTTCCCAGTGGGCACCCCAGCCATGGAGACTTATGTCCGAGTCTATGGTGAACTCCAGTTGTGAACCAAAATTCACCTTGCCGTTCCATGCAGACAGGTTCACGATTCACCACTGCAGTTCATCCCTCGTTTCGCCATCCAGGGTAACCATAAACGCGCCCTCACGCAGATGAGCTATCTTCAACCTTTGGAGTGCCCTGTAATGGAGAAGGGCTGGGAACACCGCCTGCATAGACGAGGCCAGCAGGCTGATAAGCTGTGCCAAGTGACACAGGGTGATCCTCGGACGGAGGAGCGCCCTGCTTAGTTCCTTGCTAATCGTCCGAATCTTGGAGGAATGAAGGCTCAACGATTCCTTCTCCGAATCCACGAGGACCCAGAAATTCCATTCGCCTGGATGGGTACAGGCAGGATTTTTCCCAGTTGATGATGAACCCCAGATGACTGTGCAGGTGCATGGTCCATTGCAGATGGTGCATGAGGATGGAGCGCTCCTGAACCATGATCAGGAAAACACATATACACACTGACAAGCACACACTCACTGACAAACACACATACACTCTGTCACACAAAAACATAATTTGATAGATACACAAACACATGCAAACTACCTAACAGACACACATAATTTTTTTTATTTTTTTTACATTTTACTCCACCCAGCCCCCCTACTTTTTGGAGTGTTGGCATAGAGTCTACGTCCCTGTGGTCTAGTGGGGCTGCTGAGCGGCTGGCGTGCAAGCGGGCAAGGGAGGGCGCAGTGATCTCCCTGCTCAGCTCCCTCGCGCACCTTTTAGTGATGCCGGAGTGATGTCATATTCCAGCTCTGGCATCACTGCTGTGTGCGCGAGGGAGCTGAGCAAAGAGATCACTTCCCACTGTTCCCTCGCCACCTGCAGCCATTTTGTTTTTAGAATTTTGGGCGGAATCCCAATTGTTAAACGCTGCAGTAGATTATTCACAATCCCAACTCCCCGCCTTCAGCTGAGCTCTGCATGCAGGGTCACACAGGGAGAGGTGCAACATGGAGCCTCATTGGCTGGTAGCTGGAGTTCCCAGATGCGAAAGACAGTACGCAGTGACTTTGAGTGGTAAGTTATCGGTAATATCAGTAATTTACAAGACTGATACCAATTATCAGAAATATGCTAAACATTGGCTCTAATGATCATCAGTAGAACCAAGAAACGGCCTCTTCCTACCCTTGAGTGGGGTTCTTGGGTTTTTGATTGAGGCGCCCTTACGAGTTCTTTGTCTACCATTGTCACGGGTTCATCAATACGCTTCGAGTACTGGAGACATCTGGGGTGCGACCGGGTGCCCCTTAGCACACTAGCTTGCGTGGCAGATCTTTTTTCGGATGAAGACTAATCACTGCGTAGATCAAGGGGGAACGGATCGGCTCCATTTGGTCCTGCCCCAAACTTTATTGTGGATGTGAATCTTGAGGTTAGAAAACTAGACGCGACTCTTGGATGATCGGAGAAGCCGCCTTCTACATCGAGAATCAAGTACGGATGGCAGTTTCTTTCGCAAGCCCAAGCCCGCCAGTGCACTTCAAACTATTGAATCTGGCTGTGTATGGACTACGTGTCGTCATTACTATACATCAACCATTTTGACGGAACCGAGTCACAGTTTCCCAAGTACAGCGAATCTAACTACGGATTGAGATTTGTCCACACTTTGAGGATCATCAACCACTGCCAGCTTCTTCGACCAATCTACAGCCATATCTCTTGGTTGTAAGGTCCATT